GCCAGAGCATGTTTCCAACTGGAGCACATCTATGAATCAACGAGGGCAGTATTTTTTTCCTCTCCTAAATACCTTGCTCATGAGTTAACCAAGCTGTGCTGTTGATGGCTTCCTTCTGTCCTTTAGCACAGTTTCCCTTGGCTCACAGCCGGGCGTTCCTGACTCCTGGTGACCAAATACTCTGTATCCAGTCCAGAGCCATTGAAATCCGGGTAGTTTATAGACACTGAGTGGCTGGGGCTTCTCTCCTAACATGACCTCGCACAAGCTGGGAGGTAGATTTGCCTGAACTGATTTTGTTGTGCCTCTGATCATTGAAAGAGCAAGTGTTACCATAGTCTGGGCATTATGGGCTGTTTGGAGGCTTCAGAAAATCCAGTCTACGGGCAGGTGCAGGAAACTGTTCCTGGTTTAAGACTTCTGTCCCTGATTTGATTTTTGTGATTTAAGGTAGAAAGTCCTAAGTAATGTCCAGCTGGACTCTGCAAGTGGTACAAGGGCCTGAACTCTGCCACCAGATCCTCTGCCAGAGGGCTGCAGTGTCCCTGTCAGAGCTCCTGGCATACAGGCCAGGGCCAGCTGGAGGGGAGAGGGATGGAAAAATTACCCAAGCCTGAAAGAGACACAAGTCAACTCGTGCTGCATTGTGCAAACCAGCTGTGGTGGGAGCAGTGGGATTTTATTCCCCTCACTTTAAAGGGGAGAAAGGTGCTAATACTTTCAGCCAAGAAAACAATGCATGTGCTATTTTAAAGCCTAAACCTCGATGGCCTGAAGTCTCTAGGGCTGTAGGCACAACCTTTTTGATATTGTAGCTGTAGTGCAGAGGGACCCATCCAGCTCAGCTCTACTTCTCACCTTCCTGACATCCCAGTAGTGTCTCTACCAACTCTCCTGGGGAAAGGGGAGTTTTCCCCAAGCTATGACAGCAGGCAGCTGCCCTAGCTGCAGTCCAGCAGTCTTGCTTCTTCTGGGCCTGTGACCAAGGTGCTGCTCTCCTGATCTCTCAACCCACTTGCCCACACAGGCCCTGATAATGCATCTAGTGTTCCTGCTGGCTAGCCAAGCCTCCCAGAGGAAACCCAACCTTTGGCTGAATTATTGATGCTCTGGAATGCAGCACGACTCTCCTCTTCCTGGAGAGCGAGAGTGGCACTCGACAAAGGCTGCCCTGCATTATTAATCCCCTGCACAAAGATGGGACCGGTGCTCAGCTGCAGGGACACTTCCTGCATGGCAGGATCAGCACACCCTTGCACACCATGACCTGGGACATGATCCCAGGATGCAGATCCTGGAATTGGATCAGGGCAGGACTGTTGACAAAACCATCAGGTTCTAGAAAACAAATGGGAGTAGTTCTGCCACAGCAGGATGGAGGAGCTGAAGGTTCTCCCCAGGCATTGCAACTGTATGTGCTCCGCCTGCCCTGATTCCCTCTCAGGTCGATATTCACCAAGCCTCTGGGTCAACTCGATACAGCCAAACAAGGCTTCCATTTGTGGCAGACTGGAGTATTTGGTGCTGCAAAAGACACCAATGCCTCTAGTCCAGGAGCAGCAAGACACAAAATATTTTTAATCTGTTTTTTTTACAGTCAGGAGGCATGAGTGTATGATCAGCTTCTCTGTTCTCCTGCATCTCTTGGCCTCACAGTGAAATCTTATGTCTGTTCAAGGGGAAGGAAAAATAATGACATTTCTGTAAGTGTTATGAAAACAAATTCCTAGGAACAGAAGTCCTTTATGGAGGAGTTCTGCTTGAATAGCCACACTTCATCAACTGCTGTTCTACCCTGCTTTTCACTGGGGACACTAACTTGGGCAACCACTTAAGAGGGGTTCAGCTTTTTTTCCTGTTGCCACCTAAAAGCTCAGATCTCCACTTGCACCAGACATGAGAAAGAACCAGCTCATAGGACAAGATAACTCGCCACTAATCTCCTTCGCTGGCCGTGCTTTCAAGAGAAGCTTCATCTGATCTCACTGCAGGCTGCTCCTGCAAGAGCTGGTCCTGCTCTCCCCGGACGGCACATTCCCAGTCGTGCTGTCAAGTCAGGTGAGTTCTCTGATCCATCTAAAAAGTCCTGTTAGAGGTCAAGTGGAGCTGGATCAGTGACTCCCCACGCACAGACAAGGAGGAAGAAGTGTGTTACAGGGGAGGACGAGAGCACCTGCTGCAGCAACCTGCAGTGAGATGTTACTCGCTGTGCCCACGCCTGGACTTCGCAGCACAGCTCACTTCTGGACAGGGTGAGGGAGACACTCGGGGAATTGGGTGGAAATGGAGGACAGCTACAGCCTCCCGTGTGTTTGCACTCACTTCATGACATTCACACCGTGCTGTCCAACTCTGAAAGAAAGCCTGAATAAAAGATTGTATTCCAGCCTCACCCTTTGGAGCCACAGGCTGTTACTGAGGTTTCTGGCATAGCCTGGGCTTGCAGTGACCATGGTGTGTGTCCTCAGCCCTCTTGCAAGATAAACACCTTTAGTGCCTGACCTGAGAACCAAGTGACTGAGTCCTGCCTGCTCCATGACCAGTGCTGTGCAAATGACCCACATTATCTCACCCCACTGGGCAAAGGGGTGGGTTAAAGAAAAGAGCTGCAAAGAACAGCGATGCTTGGAGATGCCACTTGTCCCCAGACAAAGGACCCCGAACTGGAGTGATTCAAGATGCTGGTAGTAGCACTGTGGAGGTGCTGAAGGGCTTCTGCAGTGATCTGAATCTGCAGCAATGCTGTAAGAAGCTGACTAAATTCAGCTGATAAAGAAACAGGGTTTAGGCTTGATAGCTCCTGGGCAAATGCTGGTGCAGGAGAGTCTAAACTGCAGGAAGAAGAGCTGGAATTGAAAGTGAGATGAGATCTCAAAAAGCTGTCTGAGAAAGGGGGGCCAGGGAGACTGTTATGCCTGCATCAAAGAGTCTTGGCTTGTTTAAGAAAGCTCTTAAACAGATGACAGGAGAATTGGTGCCAAATACCTGGGAAGCCCCAGTTTGCTGCATGGCAATGACTCAGCCCAGCCTGGCAGAGTCTGAAAACAGCCCTGGGCTTCCAACAGTGACAGAGGAAAAGAGCCTCAGCCACTCACACATGTCTGATCGTCGGTGCATCCCCTAAAGTCAATCGTAGACATTAGGTGCAAAGCAATACAAACACCTTCTCACCTTGGATCTGCTTTTAACCATGTCCAGCGATAGCCACGGGGCCACAGCAAGGCTGAGCTGAAAATAGCTGCCAGTAACCGGGGGCTACTGGTGCTGAGGCAGAGACTAGTGAAGCCATCCCTGGTCATGCATGGCTGCGAGTCCTCTGTCCCCACCAAGCTGCAGGGGGGGGTGTGACTGTCCTTGCAGTTCAATATCTGTCACCACCAGCATCGGGCAAAGCAGTTCACTGGTTCTAGCTCGAATCTTGCCCAAACAGGTCACTGTGTAAACATACCTGCAGGGCTTGTATATCTTGGACATCTAGTAACATTTGCACAGGGCTGGTAACAGGACTCCTAAAGGCTGTTTGTCTGCCTCGTGCTGGTTCTGGGCTTGCTCCTTATCTCACCTTGTTCCCAGCATTGTACTGGAGGTGAGCACAGCTGGGGCTGTTGGGCAGCCACAGGAACAGAGCTGGCCAGAAAGCCTTTCAGGAGGGGCAGCAGGCACCAGACCATGGAGAGGGCATCTTGGCCCTTCTAGAGCTGAGGTGTGGGATTGGGGAGGAGAGGGTACAAGCAGCAGATCAGACAGGAGTTGTGTTTAATCTCGGAGTTTTAGCCAGGCTTTAATCTCTTGGCACCTGTCAGTACCAGGTATTGTACAGTACCATGTCCTGATAACTTAACAGTGGCACCAGGGGACAGCAACAGGGCTAAAAGGACAACTGCAACCTCTGTAGGAGCCCAAGTGACATAGCTGTCTGAAGGGGTCTTTTAGTGTCATCCAACAAGAAGCTGGTTTCATCAAGAGGAGGAAATTCTGCTTAAAAGTACACTGAAATTGGCCAACGGCACTGAGAGGAGTGAGTGGAAAATGGGGATGGGATGAGAGGGAATGGGCTCTTCTCACAGAAATCCCCCAAGGAAGCAGTGGGGGGTGTCCAGGCCATCTGATGCTGCACCTCCAGACTGACAAACCTCACTTGTCAGATGTCACTGCCCAGTGTGAAAACACTGAAGGCTTGCACAGCCTGATTTTTTGTGCTGCTAATTTTAAACTTAAGAGGAATCACTGAGGGAGGGAGAGTCCGTTGCCAGTATGAATCTGAGTGCTGAGAGAAGTCAGACACCATTATATTTCTCTCAATACCCTGCTTCAGAGAATGTCCTAGAGGAAGAAGCACTTGCTGGAAGCATTTTTATCCAAATCCTGAGTTTGAGCCTCCTTTAAACGTCAGGTGCTCAGTTGGCAGCTCGCTCAGCAAGGCAGGAGGTGAGCTGGGAGGCAGCACTCGGGCACTGTCAGTCTGACGGCTGTCAGAGGGCACTCACAAGCCCTGTAGCAAAACTGCTCTTGTGTACATACCTGTCTAATGAGATGAGAGGAAAGCTTGACTTGTGAGGTGGTAGTGGCATTTCTGATCCTGTTGGGTTTGCAGGACAGAGTTGGTTAGGAGAAGGTGAAGGGAGCTGGCACCTTCCCTCACATGAAGGATGCCCATTGCTCTCCTGCACAAAGTACTGAAGCCATGTGCACATTTAAATGGATTCCTCACAACTAGAGTATTATTGTACCAGACCTCATTAAAAGTTACTTATTCTGGAACCTCTCAAACCTGGACTCTATTTTTAGCCCAACGCTTGTTCCACTCTTGGGCAAAAATTTGCCCTCTTCCCCTGAACGATGCCTGGGAACAAAGAATGACACCTTGAAGGCTTTTTAGCTCTAATCTTAAGATGAATGCATGAGACAGAATAAGCCTCAGTGTCTCTTAATAGCTCTATAGCACACTATAATTTTGCTTTAGTAGAACAGACCTTCTGATGACTACCTCCTTCCTACAGTTTACTGAAGAAAAGTTGGGCCAGGCTGAGAAGACTGAACTAGATGCCCACTTTGAAAGCCTTCTGGCCAGGGCAGACTGCACAAAGAACTGGACAGAGAAGATCTTGCGTCAGACTGAGGTTCTGCTACAGCCAAACCCTAGTAAGTCCAGGTTCTTCTAATGCCTGAAGGACAAATATCACTTGCAGCTCAGTGTTAAAAGACGTGCCCTCTGGCAGAGGGCCCTGTTCCATTGAGCTCCTGGGGGCTGGTGTCTTTGCAGGGCCTGTGTAGCTAAGGGCTGGGCAAGGGACACCTTCTCCTGGTGCTCGCTATCCAGTGCGAGATTGAGGACTGCATGGGGTGGGCCACCCAGTATGCCAGTTCCAGGGGCCCCTTCTTCACCCTCCATCCTGTAACCACTGGTGGCATCCTCATTCCAGGTGCCAGAGTAGAAGAATTCCTCTATGAGAAGCTTGACCGGAAGGTGCCTTCCCGGGTCACCAACGGGGAGCTGCTGGCACAGTACATGACAGAAGCAGCCAATGACTTTGGGCCAGGGACACCTTACGGTAAGTCATCCTGGCTAATTAAAAAACCCTGGGAATCCATCCCTGCCTAACAGAGTATCCCCACTCCACTATTGTTTTGGGTTAAGACTTCTGCAAAGTGCCTCTTGAAGGGGGCAGGGTGGCCCACTTCCCCCATGGCAACCTGCCTATTAGTGTGTCAGAGCTGATGCCAGAGAAGGGTCTCCTCTAGCACAGAAGCAAAGAGCCCACCTGGAGTAGGAGGTCAAGTCTTATTCCACACCAAAGCATGCTCCATGCTGTGGGGAAAGGGGACAGGGATCTCATTCCTCATATAGTCCTCAAGTCTGGCAGAGCTAGAGAAGAAATAAAGACATGTGGTTCCAGGGTAGCTAGTGGAACTGGTTACAGGATGCAGAAACTACTCTATTTCTGTGGCTTTCTAAAATAGCCTGAACATGGAGTGGCAGTGGAAAGCTTCAGCTTTGTCCAGTTTGAGCATACGTTTAGTCTAAGGTGGTATCTAGTTCCAGTTTCTCAAGACTCTGAACAGGAGAACCATCCTTTAACTGTGTCCTGTGAGTAAAGAGTGGAAACCTTTCCCCAGCAGAAAGAGGATAGGAAAACAGATTGGGAAGTTTGGTGCTTGGCTACAAGCCTCAACAGGCCCCTTCCTGACCGCAGTACATCTTTCTGCACTTAAATCCTAACAGTTGCCCCTTCCTAAGGGAATTTGGGGCTTCTTTAAGCAGCAGACCTGCACAAAGGCACAGCCTTAACTTCCAGCTGTCCTTGCCTCTGCCATGAGCTTTGTTACTGTTCTCCAAATCAATAGTTGTTCAATAGCGAGTCCTGTTACGGGCAGAACAGCTGTAACTGCATCTACAGCCAGCGCTGCCTAATCAACTCATTTTTTCTGCTCTGGTGCTTTTTAATTTGCTTCCCTGTTCCTGTGCCTCTGTTTTATGAGACAAACAAAGATCATTTTGCGCAAGCAGGTGTAGCAGTAAAAGGACATCAGTGGAATAAGTGCTTCAGCAGATAGATAAGATCAAAGCTGCACTGGGAGCAGCTGAGAACAAGCCTCAAGCTAAAAGATTGTAGTCAGGACTGAAGCTGCTGTGCTAGGAGAATGGTCACCTTGTCCAGGCAGGGTACACTGTGCTTTTGTCCCTCAGCACAGGAGCCTGGTAGCTCTGGGTGAGTTGGCTGAAGCCAACACAGTGTTAATTGGTTTCTCCTGGAGTTGAAGGCTCCTGTTATTGCAGGGAAGACCTTGATAAAAGTTGGAGAGACTCAAAGGCGCTTAGGTGCAGCAGAACGAGACTTCATCCACTCTGCCTCCATCAACTTCCTGACCCCGCTGCGCAACTTCTTGGAAGGGGACTGGCGAACCATATCTGTGAGTATGGGAGCAGGAAAGGGGCAGCTTGTCATGTCACTGGAGATGAGGAGGGTGGGGGGACAGGGAGACAGTGCTGGAAGAACTCATTTTCCTTCCGTATGAGAAAGGAGAACTGCATACCTCTCCCCTGGAAGAATGCAAGGATAGGGCACTACCAATGCAAGATCTGCCTTCTGCAGCAGGGAAGGATTGTCTGTTGATGTGCACAAGGAGAGTAGCTCCTTTCCTGACTCCTGCAGCTTGGTGGGCACCACCCACCCATAGGCTGCCCTGTTTCCAGAAGTTCAGCCTGTGCCCTGGCAGCCAGGCCCAAAACTAGATGAACACAGCAACTGCTTCTTTCTCCCTAGCATTTTTTTTTAAATAAGGAAATAGATTTGATACCCAGGTGATACCTTTTCCCTTTCCCTCCCCACCAGCTCCTAAGCAGTCTGCTCATACCCATTTTCCATCCCTTCCAGAAAGAGCGGAGGATCCTGCAGAACCGCCGCCTGGATCTGGATGCCTGCAAAGCCAGGTTGAAGAAAGCCAAAGCTGCCGAGGCAAAAGCAGCGGTAACTTTTTCCCTCATTCCCTTCTCTGTCCTTCTGGTCCCAGGGTTTGGCTCACAGGAGCAATGCCACATGCTCTCTGGACAAAAATGAGGGTGCCCTACAATGTCCTGGCCCTGTCAGGCATGGGTGGGGGTATTCAGTGTCTGGTATGCAAGGCAACTGGGAGCAGGAGCCGTGTGCCTGTTCCTCAGATGCCCCCCCCATGGGGCAGTTGTTGAAACAAATAGTTCTGAACTTCCAGAATCTGGAAACTTATACCTGACCCAGGCTCCTGTCTCCTGACTGGTAGTGGTTACTGGATGATTTGTGCTAGTAACTAAAAGGTGACATCTTCTGAGGACTTTCTAAGTTTCCCTGGGGATATCAAAGCATGCCAAGAGAGAGCTGAGCTGGGAGGTGCACAAGTGGAAAGCATGCTGGGGCTGTGCAGCAGTCCCAGGCTTTCAGACTAGTTAAGATTCTGCCAGCTCAGTCTTCCCCAGCTAGGAGTGCCAGGGGAGCCCATAAGGGATGGCCAGACTATCTACCAAGAGATCCTTCCTTCAGCCTCTCTAGTCATTTAATTCATGATGCTGTCTCATTACAGGCTTAGTCTTGCCCTCTGGCTTTGGAGAAATCATGGCAAGTGAACTAGCAAAGGTCCCAGAGGTCAGAGCAGTGCAGAAGGTGCTGGTAAGTCAGCCAGTGTCCCAGCCCACAGGCTGGAGCAGTGGGGACAAGCACTTCAAAGTGCTTCTCTGAGGCTGACTAGACCTGTCAGTTCAGGGTGCTCCCTGGGCCTGAGATATCTCCTGGAGCTGGGCTCTCCCTGGGCAGAGGCAGTGTAGCAGGAGGCAGAGAGGACGTAGCTGGGCACTGATGGGTTCCCTGGAGAGCCTTGTTGAAACCCATTGCCATCCTGTAGTGCTCTGGCTGTTGGCACAAGGACTTGCCAAGTTCTGCTTCTAGCCTGGAGCTCAGCTAGCAAATGTGTGCAATCAGAATAGGCAGGAATCCTGTCAGTGAGTCTCTGGGATATCAGCCTAGGAGTCTTGCCATGAGCCCATTTTCTGGCCATCTGCTCAGCCGGGCCCCTGGCCTTGCAGCTCCCTGGGTGGCCGTTTCCTGGGTGTTTTCTCTTTTCTCCAGCTCTAACTACATACGTGCCATATGGGGAAGCTGTGCTTAGCTCAGCTGCCTCCATCAGCAGGTCTAACAGTGCTTGGGCCTGTGTGGGACAGCCCTGAACAAAGCTTTGGGTGAACAAAAGCAATAGCCACCCTTTCAAAAAAGCCTCTTCTCATTAGTCAGGTCAGCCAGATCCACTGAAGTAACTTCAGAGAGCCCTCATTCCCCTTCTGAAGGGGATGGTGCCCCCAGCCCGAGTAGAAAGTGGTGGCCATTGCTTTGTCTTAAGCTCAGAGTAGGCATTCAGACATCTCCTGTGCTTCCTCCCTGTCCATCTTCTTCCTCTTTACCTTGCTTCCTATGTGAAATTACCTCAAGGCCTCTCAGCTGCACATGGACCCTCAGGTGAGGGACTTCCTTGTAGCAAGAAAAGAAAAGCTTGGTGTCCTACTGGGACTGTGGCACTGGGGTGCCTCAGGCAGGGTGCAGAGCCAGTCCAGGCTTTCCAGGGTGTTCACCCCAAGCCACATTTCAGCCCCTCTGCTTCTTTGAAACCGAGCTCACATAAGAGAAGAGCAACCTCAGCTGTTGTGGGCACCCATCTCTCACCCAGCTCAACCTAAAGGTGGGGTCCCTGGCCTCAGGGCTCCTCACTGACTACTAGAGGACAAGGCACAGGTGGAAGCTCCCAGCATGGGTGGGAAGAACTGCTGCTTGTGCTCTAGATATGTTAACTCATCATTAGACCACAACGTTCCCTGCAACGAGTCTGGCATCCTGTGTCACACCTCTCCCAGCTCACCACTCTCTTCCTGCTCTTCCCCTCTGTAGTACAAACTTGTGTCCCCACAGCTTCTGTCTCGTGACCGACCCTCCAGGTGTGCTGCTGCCCAAGTGTCTGGGCTTGTGTGTTTCCCTGAGACTGTGCTGTGTCCTTCCTGTTGATGCTGTTTTGTTTACTAACCTTTTTGTTTTGTTTCTTTGTAATTTGCTCAGTGTGAGGGAGATGTGAGTATTGATTGTGTTAATAGTGCTGTGATATTTTTTCTTTTAACACCTCTCATTGTCTCTTTCCCATTTTAAAAGAAAATATCTTCCTTGTCCTATTGGGACTGGCCCTGGAGCATGTACTGAGCATGGTCAGGGCTGTGGCTGCCTGGGGAAGGTGCCCCAGAAAGATGGGAGCATCTATCAGCTGCTGGCAGCCCCTCTGGAGCATGCACTTGGTTCCATCAATGCTGCTTGCAAGCAGTGCTCAAGAGAGGCATGGCCTCCTGTAAAGACCCACTCAGGCTCCTCCAGCTGCAGGCAGGAGGAGGTCAGGCTGGGTGGCAAGTCCCTCTCCTGGAAGGGAGGCAGCCCAGAGACAATGACAGGCAGGGTGATCTGGTTGTGGTGCTGTTCTGTCCTCCAGGCTCCAGGGCTCTGCCTGTTTTTCCCATTACAAGAGTGGAAGGGGGAGGGAGGTGGGTCCATTTTGACCACTGCTTGCAAATACAACTTGTCCATACATAGGAGTACAAGAGCAGCTTGCCTCCTTCATCCCATGTGCTATGACTAGTTTTGGGGCTCTCTGGAGACCAGGGAATGGGAGGAGAAGTTTATTCAGTTGCTTTTGATTTTTTTTAAAAAAGCATAAGAAGTTATTTCTGTGAAACATCTCCTCTCCCCACAGGGAGGAGTCAAGCCCAGTTATTGTGCTGGCCTCAAATCTCACCAGTGCATTTTTCTCCCTATATTCAGGTTTCACTTGTAATAGGAATTGCTCCTCTTCATTCCTTCCTCCAGCCATCCCCAAAACTCCTAGATGGTTTAAAAAAAAAATTCTCTTGTTGTTGGGCTGGGCCTGCCTGCTCTTCCACACACTGGTCACCCGTTCCAGCAGGCTGCTCAAGCCCCAGCAAATTGGGTCAGTGTGTACAAGTAGATCTGGGTGAGCTGCAAAGAGATTAACCTGGGGAGAGGAAATGTGGGTCCTGAGGGGATTAACAACGTAGCTGGGTTACAGCTGGATTGTGTGCCAGCCTTGCTCACTGCACAAGACAGTCTGGCCAGGAGGATGCCTTGATCTACCACAGCAGTGTGATGATCCTGAATGTAAACTAGCTGGTTGGGTGATGCTACAGCCAAAGGCCATCCTAGGAGGAGGCCTAGTCTCAGCTTAGCTGAATAGAGAGACCATGTGATGTGATGGTCAGTGAGCCCACACCTGTGTGGGGGTGGACCGGATCCCAATGAGGAAAAACACCAGAGTGCTTAAGTCTTCCTGCCCCAGGGCAGAAGTTTAGCTATGGAGAAAGTAGCTCGGAGGTCTTCTGACCTCTGGGATGAAAACTCATACACTAACTTTGGCAACAGCAAGACTTTGGACTAGATCTGCTTTGTCTAAGCCACAGCCTCTTACTGAAAATAACACAGCTGAGTCTGTTAGGAAGAAACATACCCAGAGGTTTGTTGAGAATAAGAACAGGTAGATGTGTTTCTTTAAAAGGCACTGTGGAAAGGATGCTCTGATGCTAGTAACATTCCCACTTTAAGCACAAGGACCTATACAGGGACACATCTAGGACTTGTAGGTGGGAAATGAGGGGAAAGAAGGTCCTGTCGACTGGACTGAGCCAACATGCCATGAGCAACCTGCTGGCTGCAAGGGAATGGGAAATGCATTTGAGATTATGCTGTCTCATCTCCACTCCAACTGGCTGCTGTGTGAGCCGATATCTGTAAGTACAGGCAGAGTTTCTAACAGTAGAAATATCTGCTATTGGGGTACCAGGTGTGACTGCATGAGCCAGTCCACCTCCTCCTGCACAAGCCTGGCTTCCACCTGAGGAAAACTTCCACACACCACTGCCCAGACTGTTGGGAAACCTCCCTCCTGCCATCACCACATAAGAATTTGAACTAAGCTGCCAGCACAGACAGGAAAAAAACCAAACCAAACACCACAGTAGTCTGTTCTTCCATCCACTGCCCAACTGACTCCTGTCAACTCTTCTGCATGACTTGTACATGAAACTCTATTCCCCCCACTAGGCTGTACCTGACTTTCAGGAGACTAGACCTCGTAATTACGTTCTCTCCGCCAGCGCATCAGCGGTAAGATTGCCTCTCCAACCTCCTCCTGCCCCTCTCTTCACCTGACTTAAACTCAGACCTAGTGCTCTGCTGTTTTCAACATTTTAATGTGACATGGGCTGCCCAGGGTTCCTCTGACTCAACCTGAAGGATGCACATCACCCCTGTGGGGGTACATGGTCAGGGTCTGGCCCTTTTGCTGCTTGGCTTGCTTTCTAGTTTCTCTGCCAATCCTTTTCCACGTTTCTAGTGGGAATGTTCTGAATTTTTTTTTTTATTGCTAGTGAAACAATTGAAAGGAAAAAAACCTCAAAGGTTAGCCTTTCTGGATGGTTCCAGCTGTACCCTGGCAACGTCACATGCGTGACTGCCTGATCAGTGCTGTTGTGTCAGTGCTCAGAGCCTTTGTAGCTGGTCAAGAGAAGCAAAGGTAGAGGAATGTCTCTGCCACTCTGTGTCTGTAACACCGTAGGCTGACAGTGCAGGCTTGTCTATTTGGTAAACAGAGAGCAACATTTTCCTTTCATGTTGGGGCCTGTCTGTCAGTGGCTGTTTCACAGTCAGATGGGCTGGGGGTGGGTGAATAGCCTGTTGCATCTCTGCTGTGTTGCACTAAGTGGTTGTGGTCAAGCAATTCACTTTCCGTGCTGTGTTCATGGCTCCCCATTGCACAATGTCACATTTCTCGTTAAAATGTTGAAAACTGATCATCTTGCTTCCAAAATAAGCGTTCAGAACAACACTGATGCCTATTAATAGAATAACCTGGGAGTGAAGGGCTGCAGAGAGGAATCTGTAGATATGAAAAAGTACAGCCCAGCCTTCTAGCAAACAAAAAAAACCCACAATGGAAGCGAGTTGGATTTGGTTAATGGGTAACTCATCCTATTTGGAGAAAGAGGTATGTCTGAGCTGATAGCATCAGTGTTAGTTCCCAGGGGGATCTGTCCTGACCTTCTTGGAGAGTGATGCTGGGATCAGAAACAGCTTTGTACAAAAGCTAGAAAACTGTTTGCATAGGTAACTGGCCTGGTGATGAGACTCTAGGAAGAAGCTGATTCTGTCGCAATTGCACAGCTTCCATCTCTCCTGGCCCAGCAACAAGCCTGTGGCTCTGGCTTTTCCCTTGGGAAGGTCTGTTCCAAGGACAGCACAGGTATTGCTATAATGGACTAAAACTGAGCTCTAGGAGGATCAGAGGGGAGAAACTGGGCTCTCCCTGCTTCCGAGTAGCCCTCATTAGACCAGGGTATCCTGATCATTCCCCAAGGCTTTCTAAAGCAGACCTGAAGGCAAGCTTTTGCATAACACCCATTAGCATCTTGCAGAGCATCCAGGTGCCTGGCTGAACATGTCTAGTCATCACCAAACTGCACGCTGGTCTGAGCTGTTCTGGGGAGCAGATGCCAAGCCCCGTAACATGACAGAAGAAATCAATTGGGTGGGGGGTTTAGCCCACAGATGTCTACCTCAGCACATCTCTGCCTAGTTCAGTGGTCCCTCTTGAGAGCTCTGCTAGAGAAGCTCTGACAGCAGTGATGATGATATCAGTTCGAGCAGGGCTCTAGGAGACTGACTTGCTCTAGGTAAGCAGTCAGCACTGACCTTGATCACTTAATCATGTTTGATGGTTGCACAGCAGAGCCTGCTACCAAGAGTGCCTGCAGGAAACCTGCTGGCCTAGCCAGCAGTGCTCGTTGTGGCTTCCAAAACTTCTCTGTTTCAGAGGTTGCAATTGATGGTTGAAGTGCCAGCTGAAGTCCAGCTGTACTAACAGGGGTAACTTGAATAAAAATTGGCATCTCTAATTAGCAAAACAGGACTGAGCCCAGACAGTTCCCCAGCTCTGTCCACCAGAGCTTTGCAACAAGCTCTCTAATCCCAGCATTCATCCCAAGGGGTCAGGCACTGCAGCAAGGTAGGAGATCTTCATACTCTTGCTCTGCTTTTCTTCCAGGCCAGAATCCTTGTGCTGCATTAGTTTTAGTGTGTACTGACAATGTAGAGCAGTGGTTGCTGCTGACCTTGCTGCTGAGCTCTGCACCCTTCTAGAGGGAGGGATTGCTTACACCCAGGTAACAACTTTGTCTTACAGGTGAGCAAACAGGTCAGCTCTCTCCTGGACCATCTGCCCTCAGCAGGGCTCTGATTTGGATTCTAAATTTATATTGTTGGTTTTTTGGAGAGGTGGATAACATGGTGCTTTTATTTTTTCCCCTTCCATAACAGGAGGGCTTGGATGGAATTAGATTCACCCAGAGACAAGCACCTCCCCTGTTTTGTATGAGTTGGAGGCTGAGGAGCCATTCCTCCTCTCTCCCACACTGACCTTTTGGTTTTGTGTAAGAAGGTGTACGTGGGCTGTGTAAGCCTAAATATCCCTTTCCCTCAGACTCTGCCACTTGCCATGTGCTGTACTCCTGGGAATGATTCCAAGAAAAACATATTGACTACCTTAAAGAAGGTTCCTCTGGCTTGAGCTGGGGTGGAGGAAGCCAGGTGCAGATCATGGCCTTTTCTGCTCCCTGAGCTGTCTGAAACACTTCAGACTAGAGCCACAGAGTGCCTTAGCCCAGGGATAGAGCTAGGCAAAGTTGGACTGCCCCAGAGTGCCACAGGGTCAGAGCTGGAGATGGCACAGCAAGGCCAAGAGAACAAAGAGATCTGGCCATGAATGTAACGGGTACTGCAGTCATTAAATGGGCCTGAAGTGGCTTGAGTACTGTCCACAGCATCTAAGTAGGAAGACCTATGGCCAGAGTGGAAGCTTCCCATTGTCTCTGTAGTAAACCTTCCTCCAAAAACAAGAGGATGTGCTGACAGAGGCCTTGTACCAGTGCAGCCATCCTGACTAGGACCTGCTTCTCAGCTGCCTACGAGGACCTTCCCACCAACTGCCTTCCAGAGTAGGAGCTCTGAGACTGAGAAAGGGAAGAGCTTTGTGTCCCCATGCATGGCTGAAGTTGCCCAGGCCTTATTTGAACCAGTTCCTGACTTGCAGTAACAAAACATGCACCAAAAGGTCAGAGAAAACCCCTGGTCTCAGTGCACTGAGCACTGCACAGGGACAGCCTGCCATCACAAGGAGATCAGCTACCATAATTCCACCCAAGTAAGAAGAGATGCCAGTCAGGCTACATACCATGGAACAGGAGCTGAGCTGCAGGCCAGGGAGCAGAAGCCAGAACAGGAGCAGGCAGCAAGTTAAGAAACACAGCACAACACCTCCCTGCTTCAGTCCTTCCCCAGTACAGGCAGCTCCTGCAGGTGGTCCTTATATTGGCTGGTGAAGTTGTCTCTGCACCTGAGGCTCCCACAGCCCACCTGAGGGCAGTTGCTGGTGAGCAAACCTCAACAAGTTTCAGTTGGGAGACCCTGGGTCTAAGCAGAGCACGTTCTCCCTCCAACACCACAGCATCCAGCACAGGGCTCCCAGGTTCCTGGGGTGCACATTCAGCAGTGCTATGCTGAACTTCCCTGATCTGCAAAGGTGGTATCAGAGGATGAACCTGAGGTCCTCAGAGGGCACCTCCCCTGGCCCCACTGATGTGGGGTGTTGCTGGCAGGCTGATGTGCCCCGAGTTGATCCAGGGTGATTTCTCTTTATGTTGCCAGGGCTGAGGGAGTAGTTGTCTGCTGAGGAAAGGCCAAGCCAAGGACCTCTGGGAAGGATCAATGTGTTTTTCTACCTTTTCTCTCCCTTTCCCATCGCTGTGCGTGACTTTTGTTGTCAATTGTTTCATGTCCTGGAGCCAGATCCCAGCAAGCAGCTGGCGGTGTTGTGCTGCCCTGAATGTGCCCCGGTGGGTGAGGACAGTAGGAAGCAGAAGCACGATGTTTTGCCTGGCTCAGAGGCAGTGTCCAGCCCTGGCTGTAGCTAAACGTGGCTGGTGGTAGCACAGACTGGCTGGACTATCGTGACTTTTGTTGTCAATTGTTTCATGTCCTGGAGCCAGATCCCAGCAAGCAGCTGGCGGTGTTGTGCTGCCCTGAATGTGCCCCGGTGGGTGAGGACAGTAGGAAGCAGAAGCACGATGTTTTGCCTGGCTCAGAGGCAGTGTCCAGCCCTGGCTGTAGCTAAACGTGGCTGGTGGTAGCACAGACTGGCTGGACTATGACCCCGTTAAACCTGAGCACTCTAGACCAGTGGGTGAGGAATACTGGCCTCTGTCTGGCTTGAGCTCGTGGCAGCTCCCAGGCCCTATTTGTGACCTCAAGCAGCTTACCTGCCCCTCCACAATCCTAAAAGAAGGGCTGTCCTTCAACCCCAGCCTCTGCAGCCCTCAGCAAAGTCACCCTTGCTGTTCAGAGGACTCTGCTGCTTAATCCTTTTCTTCCTGGAGCCCGCTGAATGGAGTTGCTGTGACAGCCCTGGCAGGGAGCGGGGCTGGAGTTCTGCTGGCTCTGGTGGCATGGACGTGCTCTGCCATTGTGAAACTGAGCTCAAGGGTGCAAGAATGAGGGGAGGGGGCATCGATCTGGCAGCTGCTGCTGGGTGAAGGGCTCGCTTGTCCCCGGAGTTGGCCGGCTGTGTCTACGGAGTGTCCTTGCCAATTGGTGTTAATGCTGAGTGCTTCTCGACGTCTCCAACACTGATCTCCTTTCCTGTTGCTCTGTGGCCCCTGCAGCTTTGGAGCGACGAGGTGGAAAAAGTAAGTACCCAGCTGAAATTGTGCTCAAACCTTCTGGGCGTGCGGGTGGTGTTTGTGGGTTGGGGGTGCTGCGGAGTCCTTCCTGCTCGTGTGCCTTCACACATGCAGGGCAGGATCAGTGGGATGTTGCTGTTGTCAGCCCCCGTCCTGATCCTGCAGCTCTGTGGTTCAGTGTGGCTCTGACAGTGACTTGGGCAGAGCCTGTCCCCTGGGCCAGCGGCTGTACTGAGTGTGACAGACTCCCAGGCAAACCAGGCACCCGTGTGTACGCGACAAAAGTCAACTCTGAGAGCCCCGTGCTGGTGTCACAGGAGCAGAGGTGATGTGCTGGGACGAGATGCAGCTCTGCTCCTGTGGCAAAGGCCCTGCCTGCTCCAAGTTTGCATGTGCCATGCATTAGCCTCTAGTAGCCCCTCGCCTGCTTGTTCTGAAGTCCAAGCAGGAGCTCTGAGCAGAGCTGGAGCAAGGACAGAGACTTTCCCCATGAACAGCCCCAGCTGCTGGAGGGAACAGCTCTGTCAGGAGGGCAGGGTGGGAGGTGGGGAGCCTGTCATGGAGTTGACTCTGAGTGAGCTGCACTTACCCTTCTGAATGGATCCATGGAGGCAAAGTCCCAGATCTCATTTATTTTCTGAGCCCACAAGGGGAGTGTGACTCATCCATGAAGATGGATGGAGGGGGGCTGCTAGTGGACTAGAGACCAGGGTGAGCTCTGTGTGGAGCTCCAGCATGATATGGAGCTTCCAGAGACACCTTCTGGGATCCCATTGCCTTTCATATCTCAAACCCCCCCAGCAGATGTTAGCCTGAGCTGCAGGGTGGTAGAATGGCACGTTCCTGCATGCTGTGCATGATGGCAACCTGTGACTGCCTTACCCAAAATGTCTCTGCAGACTGGCTGTTCTGGAACCAGCTCATCCTGTACTTGAAATCCTTCAGTCCCTCAAATATCTCTGCAGTCAGGTGTAAGCATGCAAGGCTCTGTTCCTCTATCTTTGGTCTGTCCAACCAGGATAGACCCAAGGTATGTCAGAAAACTTCAGAGTTCTCCGTGTCTTGGAGAAGGCACAAGTCTGGAAGGGACCTCCCAGGTCACAGTCCAGCTTTATGGAAAACTACATCCTGCAACTGCTCAGAGGCAGCAGGGAGAGGCAGTGGGTCAAATCCTGGACAGTGCCAAGTGGAGCTGAGGCTGCCTGTCAAGTTTCAAATAGCTCTGCTGCTGCTGAAGTCTCCACTCAGCTCACTGGAGCAAGAATCTCTTGGTGCTTAGGAAGGCATTGCACTTGTATTTCCTGTTACATTCCCCCTTCTCCTTTAAATAATCCCTTTCATACAGAGGATACAAGAAAATAGATCAGTTGTAGCTTAAAATAGACAAATCTGATTAAAAGACAGTCAGAGTATTTCTGGCCGGGCTGTGCACCAGCCCTGGTAATGCTGTTACCAGATGAGGGTTGGCATGGCCCACAGCAGCTGCTCCAGCTCGCCCTGCTGGGAGGGCTGGGTCTCCCTTGGGGTGACCCTGCTCAGGAACACCAGCGATGGGGCCTCTGCTCTGGGACTATCAGCCCGTCTGGATTAGCTCTCGGGGTCAGTTCCAGACAAGGAGCTCTGTCACAGAACTGGTGCCATGCAGGAACCAGGCACCCCTCCGATTGCTGCACCGTCCTGGAGAGGGGGGAAAAGGACACAGGACCTGCACTGCTCTCCTTCCAGCAAGATGTAGCTGAGTCAACATCACTCCTCTGTGCTGTCAGTCACAGCACCTCCTGAGAGGGAACGGGCATGGCCGTTAAGGAGTAACACATGCTAGAGAGAATCAATGTGCCTGCTTGTTCCTTGTCACCCCTTTCCGTCTGGCAGCAGGGAGGGGAGAGCTGGCACCAGAGCACCCGACTGCTCCAGTGCTTCTGGAGCTTTGTTCTCTGCAAGGATCCACCTGGGCATTCTGGTGTAAAAATGCAAAACTGCCCTGGTGTAAATATGCTGTTTGCTGGTGGGGGAGAGATGTTCTGTCTGTTTGGTAAAGAAGGTCTCCAGTGTTAGTCTGTCTTTGAATTCCCAGTGTTTGCTGCATAGCTGCCTTTTATTAACCGTTGTTTAACTCCTCCTAGCTCAAAATAAGTATCTACCTTCAGAGGAGAGCCTTGGGTAGAAGTCTGATGGGGATGTGCATCTCCATCGCAGAGAGATGTAGTGGAGTAACAGCAATGTGGTAGATGCTGCCTGGCCTCAGCCTTTGTTCTGCCACGCTGAAAAGGGTAATGGCAAAAGCTGCACTTCTGGAGAGAGGCTTAGGGAGGTTGTCACATTCCTGTGCCTACAGGCTTAGCGAGAGGGTTAACAGAGCTGCACAGCTGTATTTTGCAGCGGGCTCACAGGCACACTGACATGGGAACGGTCCTGTTTGCAGTGTTACCTTTGCAGGACAGGTACTGATGAGCAGCATTGGCTGTCCAGATCTCAGAGTCCTACAACAGGCAAGAAAAGGACAGATGCCGGCACGGGACTGGCTTTCTACATACCTCAGAATTAACAAAGCCTCTCCATCTTCCTGTTCTGGTCTTGTGGGAGTAGGAATTTCCTAGCCTGCATCAGTCTTGAGCTGCCATTCCATGACCTGCAGTGATCCAATATAGGATCAAGTTGAAATACAGCCAGAGGTCTCTGGGATCCTCACTCAGAGTGTCCTGTGCCTGATGTTCAGCGTCACAAGCACACGTGGATCCTACAGAGCCAGCAGCACGCTTGTCTCGGTGCCAAAAGGGGGGGTTGGTGGAGGAGGTGGGTGTTGCCTCTCCCTGGGAGAGGCAGAACGGTGGTCCTTGCCTTGTGCTGTCTTGAACACCCTGTCCTGTTTTGCAGGCAGAACACGAGCTGAGGCTCACACAGACAGAGTTTGATCGGCAGGCAGAGGTGACACGTCTCCTTCTGGAGGGGATCAGCAGCACACATGTGAGTCTTCCTAGGGAACTGGAGGGTGACAGGGACTGCAGAGACTCTTGGCTCCTTTCTTGAAGAATGCCAAGAGGATGCTGCAGCCCTGCATTGGGAGCAGAAGAGGTGCAACCTTCTCATAAAACCTGGAATGTTCAAACTGAAGACATAATGAAACACGTGCAGGCAGTGCCACTTGACGCCTGCAGTTCTACAGTCCTCAGAATGCTTCCCAGCCAGAAAAACCTTGTTCTTCCCCCACTGGAGCTGTGGACTAGCCATGTGCACATGGCTAGAGTGCCAGGAGCAGCCTCCTGAGATCACCCTTTGGCCTACACAACATTCCAAACTTAACAACTCTTTTAAATACTGGCCTGCACAAGTCTGCTTCCTGTGGGGGTAGGTGGTAGCTGCAGGAAGAGGGTTCCTGTGCCTGACACCCAAACTCACAGACCTTACGGTCTTTCTCCCTCCAGGTGAATCACCTTCGCTGTCTCCATGAGTTTGTGGAGTCTCAGACCAACTACTATGCTCAGTGTTACCAATACATGCTGGACCTGCAGAAGCAACTGGGCAGGTGAGACGAGACTGCTTTTACTTACTCATCTGGCTACCCCTAGCTCAGGCCTCCTTCCCCATTCCATGTCATCATGCTGGGTAGGAAAGTTTAAAAGCCCCCTCCAAGCTCTGACAGAGCTTCTGAGCTTACAGAATGGTGCCCAATCCAGTTGGCAGTGCATTTAGAGCAGCCTTTGCCATTGGATTCATCTGGCTTTTATGCATTCATCTCAAAGCATGATGGCCATGAGAGTTTGAACATTCTCCCTCTAAATTAGTTAAATCACATGGGAGACAGATTCCTGTTGCCAGGCAGCAAGCCTGAGCACGCTTAGCTGCAGCAGTAACTAGTTCTGTGCTGCTGGCTGCGTGTCCCGTGGGCACGGGCAGGGCTGTTCTGTCTCTTAACCTGTCACATCAGCGTGGTGGCCTGACCCAGGAGGGGCTGTTGCCTCTGCATGATCACTCACTACTCCTGTTCCCTTCTTTTCCATGCTTGCAGCTCCAAAGGAGAAATGTAAGTAAGATGTTGCACAGGACTGGCTCTAAGAGGTCTCCACCTCATCCAAACTCTGGAGTCTGCAGACTCACTAAAAAGGCCAGCAAGGGCCAGAGCTGCACTTCCTCAGTGCAGAAAGGGGTATCAACAGATGAACGAGGCTGAGCTCCATTACTGTCTCTCTCTAAAGAGTCCAGAAAGCCTGGGAGCCTCCAGTTGTGGCATCCAGTTTAACAGCAACAATGACTGTCCCTTTCCTGAAGAAGTACCAGACTAAACAGATAACACAGTCCATATGAGAGCAGGGCAAGGACACAGCACAACAGACTCAGGAAAACAACTGCAGAGCCAAGAGTAGCACCTGCCCAGACCCCTCTCTGGTGCCACCCTCCAGTCTCGTACTCTGCACGTTGGGTGCCAGTCCTGTAACAGGACTGGCATCAAAATAAGCAGAGAAATATTACCTGTTGTGTAGTCTCAGCACCTGAGAACTGAGTGCATTTCCCCACTCAAAAGGCAGCACAGACACATCACAGCTGTTAGCTGGAACTCTTGAGCATCATCTCTGCAGTGTAACTGCCAAAAGAGTGAGCTCTCTCTTGGTTCCTCATACTAGAGCCACACTGAACTCTGCTTTCTTCTCCTCTGTAAGATTTTCAGGCACATTCGTAGGCAACGCAGAATCCACATCTCCTCCCGCAGCTGCTACCTCTCCTCCAGCTGTTGCTGCTGCCACCATCCCTGCTGTGCCTACTATTCCAGTTGTGCCCACGATTGTTGGGGTGCCTAATACTGTGGCAGAGGGTGTACTGAACCCGAATGAAGTCAAACCTCCTGCCAGTGGGACACGGAAGGCCAGAGTCCTCTATGATTATGAAGCAGCTGACAGCACTGAGCTGGCACTTCTTGCCGATGAGGTTGGTACCTGTCCTTTGCCTTGACTTTTGCAGCCCATTGCATGCTCAGTGAGGTCTTGGTTCCTTTTCCTGTCCCTAAAAACCCTGTTTCATGGAACTGCTAATAGAGTCTTTTCTTTGACACTAGTATCTGCCGAGTCGCAGTGAGCTTGTGCTCATGGCCACTTGCTATTTATCACCCCAATAACTCTTCTGTTCCTGCTGGAGGCTGGCTGTACCTGGCTAACAAAATACCCCAGTACTTAGTATCTTCACTCTGTCCCTCAAATAGCTTCCTTATCCCAGAGCAATGGGATCCGCTGCTGGCTGGAAGCCTGACCTAATCAAGCTGAGAAAAAAAGGAAATTCAGCAAGTTGCAAACTCTTTTGTTGACTAGACTGAACGTTTGCATTCAGAAGGGATGACAGAGCAATATCGTGCCACCCTGTATGCAAAAATACCTTAAGTCAATTTGGAGAATGAAAAGGCAACAGGGACATCACTGGGCACATTTCTGTAGATGTGCTAAAGCTGCAGATCGCTCCAGGCCCAGCTGTCTGCTAAATGAACTTCAAGAGTCACCTTACTGCTCTTTCAGTACCTACCTGACTGAACTTCTTGGCTCTGTTTGCACAGGAAGGTCCTGTCTAACGCTGTCTTCTCTCCCCAGATGATCACTGTGTACAGCCTGCCAGGCATGGATCCAGACTGGCTCATAGGGGAAAGAGGGAACCAGAAAGGGAAAGTTCCTGTCACTTACTTGGAACTGTTGAGTTAAATGTCTCCAAAAAGAATGTACAAGCAGAATGCACCCCTCATCTCCTGGCACTTCTAATGCGGATTTCTTCACCTGAGACCATTGCTCTCTTCAGGGTTAACACTCCATTGCTAGTATGGGAATTGCGGGAAAGAAGTGGCAAACCTATTACAGAAAGGTTTTGGGAAAGGGCTGATGGCACCCAGGACTGAATTCATTACCTACCAGTGCAGCCTGCTTTGAGGTTAGTCTTGATGGTGCAAGATTCCTTGATTACTTTTTTCCTACCCTACCCTAGTCTTGTTCATCACAGTGGCTTTCCCAGGGCCAGCAAGTTGTCCCCCTCAGCAGCTGCACACAGAGTTTAAGTTATACTTCCCTTGTGTCTGGTGTGGGTTAGTGCCTGTCTGCCCCTCCCGTCCTCTCTTTTCTTCAGCAGTAGCATTGCCCAAGTCAAACCATCAAGCATTTCAGTGGGGAAGTGTCCCACACAAACCCTCCGATGTGTTCTAGCTCTTAAGGCAAGGAAGCTGAATTTAAGAATTAAGAGCCTGTTAAACCCATCCACTTTGCTCACCCGTGGGAGAACAGTAAAGCCAGGCTCTCCAGGAGCCATGCTTACTGTTGTGGTGCCTGATGGCTTCAGTCTAGAACTGTCCTCTGAAGCTGGAAGGAAATGTCTTTGTGAAGACCAACCTAATAACATAAGGCCTGTATGTCGAAAATTCAACCTCAGTGCAAGGGACCATGTATCTTGCTTGCATTTCCTCTGAGAAACTGCTCTTGGACTGCAAAGAGTTTACAAGCCTTTTTACAAGCTTTGCTCCCTGTGTTAATTGTCCAGGCTTTTCTTTCACTGTGTCTGTTCCAGGCATGTTTTAGCCTGACTTTATTTTCACCTTCAGTCACTGATTTAACTGATTCCCTTCCCATCTCAGCAGTGAACAGACTTGGTGCACCCGAGTACAGCGAGGGGTAGTCCCACTTGCTGATATCTCCAGCGATGAGCTGTTCTAGGCCATGCACACACTAAACAATCCAGGCTGCCTGCGATGTCTGTGGTGGTTTGGCTCAAAGGGAGTGCTCAGGTGTGTAGCCTTTTAATCCTCTAACGAGCTTTTTAGCCAGAGCTCAACCAAAGGACTTCCACTGCTGTGTAACTAGTTTCCCACTCAAGCTGGATGGAAGAGAAACTCCCCTGCACCAAGCTCTCTGTTCACAGCCTTCCCCTTGGTATGTCAGAACTAACTTTGCTTGTTTATTGATCTTTTGCACTTTTCCCCAATGGTATCGTGACCACTGTAATGTAACAGGGCACTGAGCACCTGTGTATGTAGGGCTCATGGTTTTCAGCACTTATTTGCCAATAAACAAACTGCCTGACCTCCTGCCTCCGTGTCTTGGGTGGGTTTGGGGCTGTCCTGGCTCTCCAGCCATGCGATTGCAGGCTGTAGGGACGAGCAGGGCTGGCAGGGAGGCAGCTCAGGTGGGAGCTGTGCTGTTCTGACTTGGAAACTGGGTGTAAAAGCAAAACAAAGCTGCTCATCTCCTTCCTCTCCCCGCTGAAACTCTCAGCATGCCTCAAGGTTGTTAGTGTCTGGCAGTTCCTTTCCCAGATGACACATCCCAGTTGTACTACAGATTCAGGAACTCTAAGAAACAACAGCTCCTCCTCAAGCTGAAGGAGAAATGGAGCAGCAATATGACTTTAGCTGCTGAGAGACTGGAAATGCTACTCTAGATTTAACAGACTTTTTTTGTTGTTGTTATGGAAACTAGATCTGCTGCTGATTTAAAATTCTAAAGCCTTGTCCCTTGCACCCAGCTTGGAAAGAACTCCTGGGAAAGGCAGCTGTAGAAATGCTCTCTAGTGTAGCAACAGCGCTCGGTTTTTCTAGTTAAACTCAAATGGAAGGGAGTGGGGAAATCACATCGTGCTCCTGTTTCAGTTTTACAATTGCTGTGATTACCACTCCCACAGCTCTACCCTTTTGTAGATCTACCCCTGTCTATTTCCCTTCCACCTTTAGTACTGTACCTTTCCCTCAGGCCAGTGACATCCCTGTTTCCCTGTTATTCCTCTCCCTGGCGCATTAAAGAAAGGGGAAGAACAGCAGCAGCTTAATGATGCAGAAAATGGTGTCTCTACTCTCAGAACAGCCAGAAGGAAGCCTGTTCCTGGCAGCAGCGCTCCCTTCCTTCTGCATTAGAAAAAAATCACGTGGAAAATCTACTGCTACTCCTAACTGTCTCTGTACAGAAGGATTGCCTTCTCATGCCGCTTATTTGCAGATGGCCCAGCGAGCCACCCCTGGCTGTTCCGTGCCCCTTTGTGGCTGAGGGGCAGGTAAAGGCACAACTCAGGGCTGAAATGCTGCTGTCTGAGGTAAAGCTGCGGCTCTAAAACACAGATGCAAACAGCATCCACTGTTCTTTGCAATCTGGCACCAAGGACTCCTGCCTCGCACCATAAACTCTCACTCTAGTGCTTGAGTAGCGTCTATAAGAATGTGTCACTTCCCCCTCAATTCTGTCTGTTCTTGTTGAACATCAATAAAGCGAGGAGCACACTGCACAGAGCTTCAAAAGCTGCAACAAATGGAAAGACACTGACAAGAGCCATCAAATAACAGCCCTAAGCACCGCTGGATGTGCTCAGATGTACTGCTCTCTGGCTCTACCTCTGCTCCCCACAGCTACCTGTCACCAATTTGCTCCCTTCTCTGCAGTTCTTCACCTCCAAATCTCCATGTTCACACTCATGGGTGCCCTGTGGCAGAAGGTGGTAGTGGTTCTACATAGCCCCATCGAAACACGCTCAGGACTGTCACACCACCCTCCTCGCTGTCAGAGCAGCTCACCCGAGCTTTTGGAAGGTAATCAAGCCCTTCTCTCTTCTACTTTAAGACCACTTTGCTTCAGCCAGCTAGTTCAAATGTCTCCAAAGCCTCCAGGGCAGTAAAACTCGATCAAACAAATGTGCTAGAATATCACCATCACTTAAGCTTACAAGGAAAAACAAAACCAAACTCAAAGCAACTTAATCTAATTTTCTTGCTTTAGTCTCTTAAAACAATTGAGATTAAAAAGGTTCTGACTGGTAAATCAATCAGGTGTCTCTTTAGGAAAGAATTGGTAGGTTACTAGCTCACAGCTACATTGAAATTTAATTTCTTACCTTAGAAAAGTCTGTCTGGATTTCAGGCTTTATTTTAAGCAATGACCACTGACCTTCTCTTAGTGTCTCCATCACGCACTGAACCTCAGAACCTTAAAGAGTTTGTTGATCTACTGCACAGAAGCAATCACTAGCCCTGTTCCTAGAAGCCAGAAAAATCAAAGAAAAAATGGAAAAGAGGAATGCTGCTCCTTCAAAAACAAGAAAAAAAGTGATAAGTTTTTTTAATTCTGTGCCTAGAAATGAAAGGTCAGATTTTTGGCAATTAAAAAAAAAAAAAAAAAAAATCCTTACCAAAAGCAGAAGCTTTTTCCCTAAGAAACTCCACGAGATGATGAGTAGCTGAACTCTTCTGCAAACCTGCTGCTCAGTATTATCACTGAAGAAGGGCTGGTGCTAAGCACTAGTGAAAACTTCCTTTTGTCTAAGTCTCACTTGGAGATGGGTGCTGCTGAAGATGTGCTCTGGGTTGTGCGTGCTGACTACATGTTAGGTTTGGAAATCAGCCCTTCATGCCTGTGCCACACGCTGTTCTTCGCTGCACAGACCATCTGAAGGGAAAGGAGACAATTTACTACCCTGTGCCTCAGTTTCCCCACCTGCAAAATGGAGATTATCACAGTTTAAGCTACAAACCTAAAATCATCATCAGAGAGAAGCTAGGATGAGTCACTGCAGCAGACAAGAATAACCTAAATATAACCCAAAAATACCTAAAGAGATGAGGCACTCTCCATTCTCCAGAGAGCAATTGATTAGTTGAACTATACTGTGAATTTTGTCCATCAGAGATTGTAAACTTGAAAAAAAAAACCAACCTAGAAAATGAAAGTGCATTCTTGCTGATTCTCTCCCTCTTCTCACACCACTCCCAGCCTCTGCCTCCCCTTCTCCAGAAAAAAATAAATAAAAAATAAAATTCAACTTCTCTAAATATTGTTTCTCTCACAT